AATAAGATAATTTAGTATACACAATTAAAAACAAAAATGAATAAATAAGAATATTTTGAAAATCACCAATTTATTAATTTAATAAGAAAGAATGAATATATATTAATATATATATATATATTTTAATAAATTTAGTTTTTTTTAAACAAAATTTTTTTCAATGATTTTATACAATTATTTATGTATTATTGAATATAATACATATAAATAGATTTATCATATATAATATTAACTGTATATACATTTTGTTATTAAAAATTATAATAATAATTATTAAACATCATATGTAGAAGCAGATACATTTCCACCATGTCCAGTCCAATTGGTATGTATGAATTTTCCTTCTTGACCAAGTAATTCATAAGTGTGAGCTCCAAAATAATCTCGTTGAGCTTGAAGTAAATTTGCTGGAAGTCGTGCAGTTCTATAACCATCATAAAAAGCTAAAGCAGTTGATAATGCTGGAGTTGGTATGCCTAATGTTACAGCTGTGGATACTACTATTCTAGCACTAGCTTGACATTCTGTCATTGCTTTAGTAAAGAAATCATCCAATAATAAATTAGAAAGTTTTGGATTCTTTTCAAATGCTGCTTTTATATTACCCAAAAAGACACTAAAAATAAAATTATAATAAAATAATATTAGAAATTTATTAAAATTTTTTTATTATTTAATATTAAATTTCAAAGGTTTCATAAATATATGTACCTTCTTATAATACATCCTCCTCTCCACATAAGAGCTATACCACCATAATTCAAATTCCAGTTATGAATTTTTGCAGCTTCCCGTAATAACATAAAACCTTGTGCATAGGAAATAATTTTGGAGGCATAAAGAGCTTTTTTCAAATGCTCTAAGAATTGTTTTTTATCACCTTGATATATAGCATCAGGACCTTTTAATACTGAGCTTGCTTCTATTCTTTCACTTTGTAAAGCAGAAAGACATCTAGCAAAAACTGATTCTCCTATTAAAGTTACAGGTACTCCATAATCTAATGCTGCAATAGCTGTCCATTTTCCAGTTCCTTTTTGACCAGCTGTATCCCTAATTTGTTCTAATAAATATCCTTTTTCACCTTTGTACTTAAGAATATCTCGAGTAATTTCAATTAAAAATGAATCAAGTTCTCCTTTATTCCAATCATCAAAGACTTGACTCATTTCATCTGGATTAAGTTTTAAACCATTACGCATAATGTGATATGCTTCACAAATAAGTTGCATATCACCATATTCTATGCCATTATGTACCATTTTTACAAAATGTCCTGCACCTGTTTCTCCAACCCAATCACAACAAGGTTCTCCATTGACTTTTGCACAGATTGACTAAAAAAAAATATTTTGTTATCAATATATATTTAATCTTATCTATGATATATTTAATTTTTAAATAAATAATCATATTTCAACTAAACCTGAAAAATGGGTTTAATATGTGGCCAAGCTTTAGGATTACCACCTGGCATCAAAGATGGTCCATATCTAGCACCATCTTCTCCTCCACTAACACCACTACCAACAAACAAAATTTCTTTTTTTTCTAACTCTTTAGTTCGTCTATCAGTATCTTGATATTCAGAATTACCACCATCAATGATAATATCTCCAGGAGATAATAAAGGTACTAATTGTTCAATAAATGCATCCACAGCTGCACCAGCTAAGATAATATATATATTATTAAAGATATTTAACATTTATTATATTAAATATTAAATATTATATATTAAGTTTAAATTGAATTGAATTTGTATATTATCAATTAACTTTATTATTATATATAAACATTTAAATAATATATAATATATAATTAAAACAAATAAGTTTATCTCAAGGTCAAGTTATAATTAAAACAAAATTTATAATAGAACTTTACCTTTTACCAAAAGCATTATTCTTTTTGGTGATTTTAATTTGTCTACCATTTCTTTCAATGTATATGCACCAATAACTTTTGTATTTTTTGCTTCATTTTCCAAAAAAGATTTAACTTTATCTGTTGTACGATTGTAGGCACATACAACAAATCCATGATCATTCATATTTAGGATCAAATTTTGACCCATAACAGCCAACCCAATAAGGGCAATATCAGCAATTCTATAATATAAAATATATTTTTTCATTAAATTATATATCACAAAAAATATATTATCCAAAAAATATATGTATTTTAATATTTTAATAAATATTTTTTTAATTCAATTTTCATTTTCATTTTCATTTTCATTTTCATTTTCATTTTCAATATATCTGTACTATCTATTTTTCTTAATTTTTTAAATAATCGATTAATTATTGATTAATTATTGATTATCTATTGAATTTTATTCTAAGAAAAAATAATTACATAAATCAAATTATCAAGTTTTTACAAATTTAAATTTTTAATTTATTGAAAATAATACAAAACTTATACTTACGGTTTACTCATTATAATTTTTCAAAAATGATATATTATTCTTTTTTTGTAATATAATTTGAAGAATCAACAAGTGGCCGAACGCTTTACCACGAAGATTAAGAATGAACGAACATTCATATTGGAGTAACTTCGAAATCAGCCGACGTTTCGTAAGCCAATCGCAACGCCCAGCAAGGTCAGCATACTGTTACACACTAGAAACATTGTTATGAAAATTTCATAATTTTATCATTATTTAGATATATTAAAAATGTAATATAATAATTAATGGAATATTTAACTTTTTATTAAGTTCATTACTAAAAATTTAATTTATGAAAAAAGATTTTTGTTTGATTTTTTATTATATTAGCAATTTTACATTATAAATATCATAGTATATTAAAGAAATAATTACATTAATTAGTTAATAATTTTTATTTGAAAATCTGATATTAATAATTTAATCTGTAAAATATCAAAATATTAAACTATTATATAATATAATAAAGTTTTTATTATTGTAAAGTTTAAATTAATTTTGTATTGTATTAATAATTTTAATTTTTAATATTATTTAATGTTTTTTAATTTAATATTATATTAAAAAATAATAGTAATATTTGTTATCAATGAATATTTAAAATTTTTATAATTACGTATAGATTTTATTCTAGATTTTTATTTTTATTTTTCTTGTTTTTCGAAAAGAATATAGATAATGATTCAGCGAAATCAACTTGATTATCTTAATATTATGTGACAATAACTAACCATTTCAAATAAATTTATATGTTACGCGCCTTCAATTGTGAATTTTGTACTTCCAATCAGTGTACATATATACAAGACTGACATCACTTTCGGTTAATACTAAACAATGATTGGATGCATCGCACGTATGAATGTTTTAATTGGGAACGCAACATGTCTCGATTTGCTTGATTAGATTAGGGAAGGTCTTCGTATATTTCTTTCACTTTTGGGTTATCCTTAGTGTATTTTTAACAATTTACAACAGTTCTTAGATATATAATTCACGTTATAAAGTATTAATAATGAATTTATCATAAATATGTTGAAAAAGAATTTGATAAAAAAGTGTACATAACCCTTTGACAATGAGATATTCCATTTCTGAAATCAAATATATATATCTTTTTTATCGAGAAAAAGATTACAGAATATATTATACAGAAATACGTTTAAATAAATATTAACACTGAGTGATTTAATGTTTTAAGCAATATGGGATTATTATTTTCAAAATTGTGGAGTCTCTTTGGCAATGAAGGTAAATTCAGCATATGTAACAACAATATTGTGTCATTATGCTTTGTGTATAATATTATAAAAATAATAATATGGTAAAGATTCATATTTAACAACACGTAAAAATAATAATTATTTATTATATATATTATATAAGAATTATATATTTGCTTTTTTTTTGCTTTGATAATATATAAAGATAGTTCATAAAAGTTAAACTTTATTTAAATATAATTTAATAAGATTATAGATAAGAATTATAAATAATTATAAATAATTTCATGATTATGTATTGTTTATGTTAAAAAGGATTTCAATTCAATATAAAATAATTTTAATTAATTACTAGATATTTTTATCTTTTTTTAATTATCAAAAGTTTAATTATAATGATAAAAATAAAGTAATAAATAAAATTATTCTTTGTAAGTTAATATTGTAATTATTATATTGTGAAAACTTTTTAAAATTTTCATTATCCTTTCATTTTACTTTGAACATATGTTAATATATATTATTTATATATTTTCCTTTCATATTCTAGAAAAAAGAATTTAAAACTTTTAAATGATTCATATCATATATAAGAAAGTAATTTAAATCATTAAATTCTGTAATTATATAATTTATCAATTTAATTATAATTAAATTACATTATTTTTCAGAACATAAAATAGTTATGGTAGGATTAGATAATGCTGGTAAAACAACTATATTATACCAGTTCCTAATGAATGAAGTTGTTCATACATCACCAACTATTGGATCCAATGTTGAAGAAGTTGTTTGGAAAAATATTCATTTCATAATGTGGGATTTGGGTGGACAGCAAAGTTTAAGAGCTGCATGGTCTACCTATTATACTAATACAGAGTTTATTATTATGGTTATAGATAGTACAGATAGAGAAAGACTTTGCGTAATAAGAGAAGAGTTATACTCAATGCTAAATCATGAAGAATTAAGTAAAGCTAATGTTTTAGTTTATGCTAATAAACAAGATTTAAAAGGTAGCATGACAGCTGCTGAAATCTCTAGACAACTAGATTTAACTTCCATTAAGAAACATCAATGGCACATACAAAGTTGTTGTGCACTTACAGGAGAAGGGTAAAAGAAGAACTTATTTGTTATCAGAGATATAATTTTATTAATTTATAAAAAAAGTTATTGATTATTTGTAATATTTTAGGCTTTATCAAGGTCTTGAATGGATTGTTGGTCGTTTAAAAAAGACATGACGTACATTATGAGGAATGATTTTGAATGTAACAAAATATTTAAACTGTAAAGTATATCTTTATTGTAAGTTACTGTGTCACTCTACCAATTGTACAAATGATATAAGAATGAATGATTATATTTCAAATGGTACATTACCTTCATGCATAACTGCATATACTGATTAAAATTATTGCAAACATTTAATATATCAAATGGTGGACGGGTAAACTTTGTCTTATCTATTAATGTGATACAAAATATAAAGATTAATGATTATAACATAAAAATAAACTAACATTTTAATTATTCTTTATATAAAATATATTTAAGACATCATATTATAAGAAAACAGAAAAATTTAGAATATTGAAAGTCTTTTATAAAAAGTATTGTTGAAATATCTATAGCAAAAATTTTTTTATCAGTCTATGAAAAAATAAATATTACTAATACTTTTTACAAGACTGCCAAATTAATTATATAATCTATTCTATCAAATTAATTATATAAATATCATTTATAGCTATAAATGTTATGTATATTAAAATTACAATCTAAATAGTATTAAATTTTATTTTTTATTCAACAATGAATGTAATGAAAATATTGCATGCATATTTAAATAATAAAGAGTTTAATCTTGATCCCGTCCACCTATATTTATATAAACATAAAGATAAATTATTTATTCATTTTATTCAGCTAATATGTGGATAAAATTTTTTTGGCGATTTTCAAGAATATATTAATGTACATAGTTTTTTATACACCACATTGATAGTAAACAATTGTAAAAAGTCAACTTCAATTTAGCATCAATTACATCATATATTTTTCAACTTTCTATGTAAGAATTTAAATATTTCTTAATGCTTGGTATTGCAAACATTTTTAAAAATTTCAAGATAATGTTATTGAATTAGTCCAGAGTTGGGCAATAATCAATTGTTTTGAAGTGATTTTTTCTAACTTATTATTAAAAATCACTATAATTATTATCATTAATCAAATAATAATATCACATATAAGATAATTATGCACAATAGTTATAATTTGTAATCATTTGATGATCACTAAAAATTATTTTAACATTTAGTAGAACAAATAATCTATTTATTTACAAGATATATATCTTTGTAACATTAGGAAAGTTGGTTATATCTATTATGTTACCATTTAAAAAATTCCTGCTAAAATAAATAGATTAAAATCAAAAAAAGGGTATATAAAAATATTTTTTATATAATAATATAAATATTATTTCATAAAAATTCCAAAAAATAATGATGTAAGAAAAGTGTCACAAGAAATGTAAAAACTATATTAAAATTGTATGTAAAGCATATATCTCCAAAAAATAATATAATTTAATAATATAAATATTTTTCAAAAAATATTTAGTATGTCATTTCGCGAGTAATGATTATTAAGTAATGATTATTAATTATCTTCTTTTATAAGTTTCAAAAACTATTGTTAATTATTATTTTATAATTAATGATTATTGATTAATTGGTAATCATTAATTAGTAACATGATTTTATATCAATTATAATTTTTATCAGATTATATTTTGCCCAACTCTGAATTAATAATTAAATATTTAGAAGCAGAAGACTGTTCTGTGATACATGAATTCAAATGAGATGGTTGTTTATTAGAAATATTTAATCTGATTTATATACAAAATACAATGATGTATTATAAAGATATGTTTTACATATGCAATTCAAAAATATTTATGATGTTCTTAAATATATTATGAATATTTTTAAATATTATTACTCTAACTATTCAATTGACAACTGTCTCATATTTTATTTACTTCATGATTATACTAATTAAGATTTGTGTAGCTATATAAATACTCCAATATTTAATAATTATTAAAAATTTAAAACAATGATAACATATAAAATATATGATTTTAGAAATTATTAAGATCATTGTATGAATGATAAATGCCGTCTAAAACCAGAGTGAGATCATACATTTAACATTTCATAAAATAGCAATTTTCTCATATTGAGAAATAAAGAATTGTCTTAACTATGATACAGATACACATTATTATAGTATATGCAGTCGTTAATAAGATTTCCATTATATATTTCCATTATAAAAATTTAAAAATATAATATACATTCTTTTGTTTTTTTACAACAAATCATTATGTGAATTAAAAATATATATTACAATAAATCTTTTTGTATGGTTCAATTTTGATTGAACTAACTTCACAAAATCACTAAATTTAAAAATATTTGTTTTCAATTGGTTATTGTTAACTAACTTGTATAATAAATATGAATTGCGTATAAAGTTGTTAATTAACATAAGAACTGAAATTATGAGAAGTAAACAAAATACTATAAATAATAATATATAATTTTCTATTCCCTTTGACCATTTTTATTTTTATTTTTATATACATTTTCTATTATTAAATTATATAGAGTTATAATATAATATAATGAATATAAAAAAAATTATATATATATTATTATTATTTAAATTAATATAATATATATATGATAATAAATTTTTTATATTTTTATTTTATAATTTTTATAAATTATATTTTATTATATATTTACTTTTAGCCCTGATTAAAATTATATATAAATAAATAATGTTTGGAAACTTAGATATAATTTAAAATTTGAAAATGTTAATTGAACATATAATTTTAATAATTACGTCATATATAATTATTGTATCATATAATTATTAAACTTTACTTAATTATTATAATTTACTTAAATTACAATACTTCGAACAATAGAATTAGAATGAAAAAATTAATTTTTTTATTTTTATAATTTTCTTAATCATATAAAATTTATTTTTAATTCTTTATATTTTTTGTTAAGTTATAAAATAAATAAAATAATTAAAATATTTAATGAACTTGTCTTTTTATACGTTATTTTTTTATTCTGAGATATGAAGAAAAAATCAAATATAATTTTTTAAGATTTATTTATTTTCACGTTCGTTATAAATAAAGTATCGCACACACTCATTCATTCTCATAATAGTGGATCTACCACTAGGTCATCATTTTACTTTTATTTTATGTTAATCGAAATAATTCGATGTAAATAATTGAGCCATGTTCTCAAAGAATCCAAAAGAAACTACAATTGATGTTTTAACACTGCAATTTTTTTTACATATTTTATTAGCCCTATTTACTTTCTATTTTACATAGCTTGCTAAAAATTACATTTTGCAAATATCTGCCAATAAAACGATTTTTAATTATTACTTTTAATCGGAGTAATAACAATAAAGATACATACATATTATAATTCAATTATATTTTAAAAATTCGGATATTTTTTTGTTTTTTGGCAGTGTTCAATTTACAATATTTAAACAATATTCACTAAGTGTACTAACTTTCACAATGAATGTTTTAATAATTTACTACTACTGCATTATATCACTTTGAATAAATTGTAATTGGATCATTTTTATAATTTTGTATTTTTTGTAGTTTATATTGCAAAATTTTACCACATTTACAGTATTAAACAGAAAAATAAAAATTAAAAAAAAGTTAAAAAACAAAACAGTTTCGATATGTATTTTTGTGATAAACTGCAAAATATTTTTCAAATGTCTATATTTGAAATGTACATAATTTATATGGAAGGATTTCTAATTTAATACCTTTTATTTTTTTAATACGACTAATTATAATAATAATTTTTTGAAATTATATTAAAATTAATTCGAAATAAATTCGAAAAAATTTTCTGTGCATTAATAATATTTCTATTAAAATAGAAAATCAGTTTCTCTATTTTTAAAATCATGATGGTGTGACACGAACTTAAAGATTTAAATGATTTTGATTTTTTATAAATAAAGATGCTTAAGCTCTAATACATCTCATAAGATGTTCAGTGCTCAAAGATTTAGGCCTTTCAATTGGGAAACCAAGACCACGAGACCACACAAGAGATGATAAAACACCAAGAGCACGTGATACTCCAAATAAGACGGTGTAATAGTTCATTTCTTTCATTCCATAATATTGCAATAAAACTCCCGAATGAGCGTCTACATTTGGCCACGGATTCTTTACCTTACCAGTTTCTTGAAGAATGGGAGGAACTATTTTAAATACTTGACTAACAAGCTAAAAATATCCAAATATCATCATTAATTAAAAAGAGAATACTAATTGGATAATATATTTTTTAAACAAAATTATTTACCTTGAATAATTTATCATCAGGCAAATGTTTCAAAGCAAATTCTCTCTGGCATAAGTATCTAGGATCAGTTTTTCTGAGTACAGCATGTCCATATCCAGGAACGACTTGACCACTCTTCAGTGTATTTCGAACAAATTCAGCTACTTTTTCATCAGAAGGAGAATCTCCAATCTCCTTTTGTACTTTGTCTAGCCATATCAACACTTCTTGATTTGCAAGACCATGAAGAGGTCCAGCCAAACCATTCATTCCAGCCGCGAATGAAAGATAAGCATCAGATAATGCTGAACCGACTAAATGAGTGGTATGTGCAGATACATTTCCACCTTCGTGATCAGCGTGTATCGATAAATACAAACGCAAAAGTTCAGTGAATTGAGGATCTTCATAACCGAGCATTCTTGAAAAATTCCAAGCCCAATCTTTATCAGAATCGATAGATGATATTTTACCATCCTTAAAAGTATTTCTGTATACTGTAGCAGCCACACAGGGTAATTTTGCAATCAGATTCATAATATCTTCATAGACGTATTCCCAATATTTGCTTTTGTGTACGCCTTTATTATATGCTTTTACGAATTCGCTTTCACTGTTCAGAATAGTAATAGCGGCAGAAAATTGAGTCATAGGATGAAGAGATTTTGGAAAATTTTTTAGAGTTTTAATTACATGTTCAGGCAATTTACTTCTAGAGGCCCATTCCTTAGATATTGTTTCTACTTGTTTATCATTAGGAACATCGCCAGTAATCAAAAGCCAGAACAAACCTTCTGGAAGTGGTTCTGCACCATCTTTCGCTTTCGGTAAGATCTTCTGACATTCTGGAATCGATTTTCCTCGGAATCTAATACCTTCTTCAGCATCTAAGACTGACGGTTCCCATAAAAGACCTTTAATTCCACGCATACC